TCATGCACATTGTCGAGCACATTTGTGCGAAACGAAACGTAGGTTTAACTTAGTGCAAACATTCGTACGAAAACATACAAATACATTTAGTGTGTGTATTCCGCGCCGCCTGACTCCCCCCCGTGTGTGTGCCCTTTTCCCCGTACGCCGCCGGGGCCCTCGAATACACCTTTCTCCTTTACGTCTCCGACCAAACCGACCCGCGCGTCCAGAGTTTTAGGTTCTCAGGATACGTGTGTGTGTGTGTTTGTGTGTGCATGTTTCTTTTTTTCCAAGTTTTTTTTTAGTGTGTGTGTGTCCTTTCACCGGAGCCCGCGTCTCCTTGTATTAAACGCACCCGTGTGTTGTGCGTGAATGTGTGTGTGTTGTGTGTGCGCGCTGCGCGCGCTGGGTCTTTGGGTTCCCTTTGTGCCCTTCGTGGCGCGGCCGCTCGGCGGCGCTCTTGGCTAACGGTGCAGTGATCAGCTGATGAGATGCGCGCGCGCTGTTACTCTGCAAACTCAGGCGGCAGCAGCAGCAACAACAACTACTTGAAATTCGCGCGTCTTTTGGTCGTCGTTTCGTTTCGTTGTTGGCGGAGCAGGTGACGACACCGTGCTGTCGTGCGCGCCCTGTTTACTTGCAATGGTCGTGTAGTAGTGGGTCGTTCGGTCGAGCAGGGAACACGTGCCGCCAAGCTACCAGTGTGCCTTTCAGTTTAAGATTATTTTTATTTATTTTTTGTTAACTGGTTGAAGGTCGCCGACTACCTGCAACACTTAACACAACCCTAGATGAAATCCTAGCTGCAGTTTACTGATAAATTTGAAGGTCCGACTGAAGGAACTGACTTTACCCGCTTTTAACTGATCGACCTGATATTACCCGATTTTACCCGCTCTTACATGAGGTTACAAATTTTTAGTCATCATCTACCGGAGCGGAGGAGCGACTACTTTTCAGCCACCTTCAGTTAAAATTAAGTTAATATCAGGTAGAGTCGAGGACTGATTTTTTCCTGCCATTTCATGAGATCGAACTGAGCAGTGGCTTTTGTGCACCTTGGCTTAGGCTGCGATCAGCTGAAGGTCACTTTAGGTAAGATCAGCTAGAGAGGATCAATTAACAGTCAAAATCCGGGACTGAATCATGTTGATAGTCAACTGAATTTTGCTGTAAGACATGCGGACCGTGGATCAGCTAGACTGCAGCTTTCTTCAGTCCTTATTTTCGTCTGATTAAACGTTGTGGTTTTACTGATGTTTGTAAAGACCGCTAACCAGAAAGATCAGCCCTTTCGCATTTTATTTCAGATGTGAGCGGCACACTGACAACAACAGCTGTACTACTGAAATTAGTAATGTATTCACCGGCCAGTCAGACACTGATAAAATTCAGTCTAATTCAGTCGGGACAGGGAGGATTGAAGTAAACTGAAACGAACTGGCGGCAAAATATCTAGAAGCTACGCTGGATTCAGTTGCGTTTCAGTCCGATTCAGCTGATCTAGCTAAAAGACACACAAACGCAGCTAAACTCAGTCGGTATCATCGGCCAGATTCAGTTCGCTTTAAGGTAGAAGCGAGGTGCATATTTTTAGCTGAAAACAGATCAGCAAAGTTTAAAATAAAATCGGATAAACGAAAAAATCGATGTATCCTCAGTTAAATGCGGCTATTGGCAGTTCACTTCAGTTAGATTTTCTGTTAAGTTCAGTTGAGGTTTGACTAACGTCAGCCAGGATTTCATCTAGGGAAGTGTCCGTGTCAGTAGTCTAAAGAATCCAGCGGCGAGTTTTGTTCTAGCGGGCGTGTGTTGTTTTCATGGTCGTTCCCACACGGCGCCCCCCGAACCGGCCGGCTGCCGGCTGCGGGCGGGCGCCCGGTCCCCTGTGGGTAGGCAGTGCAGCCCGGCGCGGCTGTCCTGCGGGAGTGCCTACCAGCGGGCGCCCCGGTGGGTAGGCAGCGCCGCCTGGCGCGGCTGTCCTGCGGGAGTGCCTACCAGCAGGCGCCCCTGTCGGTAGGCAGTGCCGCCCGGCGTGGCTGTCCTGCGGGAGTGCCTACCAGCAGGCGCCCCAGTGGGTAGGCAGTGCCGCCCGGCGCGGCTGTCCTGCGGGAGTGCCTACCAGCAGGCGCCCCGGTGGGTAGGCAGTGCCGCCCGGCGCGGCTGTCCTGCGAGAGTGCCTACCACAAGGCGCTCCGCCAAGGGCTGTCTCAGTACGCTCCGCGGTTTGCGCTCTGTGCTCGCGCTCCTTTGTCCCTTGCTCGCTCTTGGCTCGCGCCCTTCTGTCCCTTGCTCGCTCTTGGCCAGCTCTTGCTCGCTCTGACCCGGCCCCGACCACGGACAAGGCGCTAATTTTTCGCAGCCTAATCAGTTTTTCTCGGCAGAAAGTAATGGCGTGGCGCGGCTCGGGCTGCTGCTCTGGTTGTCGACCTTTCCCGCCGCCATTGTCCGAGGCGCTGGATCAGCGGTGTGGCGGGGCGTGGTGGGGCGTGGCGGGGCGAGGTGGGGCGTGGCGTGGCGGGGCGGGGTGCGGCGCGGTGGGCCCCGGAGTGGCCCGCGCGGCAAGTGGGTCACTGCGCGCCGCGCTCAGCAGCTGGACTACACGCTGGGGCTGCGTGGCCCTGCCCTAGACATGCCCCGCGGGGCCTAAACGGAGCCTCTTGCTCTCTCCTTGCTCGCTCCTTGCACTTAAAGCGAGTGCTTGAGCGTGCTGGTCGGTTTCGTTTTCGCTATTTTTATCACGTTTTTATTTTTGCTAGCTTGCAGGTTTTCTCGCTCTTTTCATTGCCCCCGCTCTTCTGTGCTTGCTCGCTCCTCTGTGCTTGCTCGCTCTTCCCCCGACTGCTCGCTCCTCGCTCTCAATCCCTTTCATCCTGCGCGTGTCATCTTTGTCCTATCGATCCCGCCTGATGATGTTGGCCGCCAGGTGCACCACCTGTGATTTGCAGCCTGCACTCCACGGGGACCCATCTGCCGCACGCGCCTTTGGAGCGAGCGCTGTCGACCGCCGCCTCCCCGAAATGTGCTGTCCTTGTCTTTCTGGCGGAGTAACGCCCTCTGCTCGCTGGCCCGTCGGACTGACCATGCACTGCGCGTCTCTCTCTCTCTCTCTCTCTCTCTCTCTCTCTCTCTCTCTCTCTCTCTCTCCCACTGAGCGTGATCGGTTTTGAGCTGCGCCGACAGTCTGTTTTGTCATGGCGCTGAGGTCGGCAAGCTTCCTGCACCGGTGCCCTACAACCGCGTTGCATGATGCTCGGCGTGCAGTCGGGTGACAAGAGGAGAGAGAGAGAGAGAGAGAGAGAGAGAGAGAGAGGCACACACACACACACACAGTGACGCAGACAAGACTGCCGCAGGGCAGGGGGCGGCTGCCTGCGGGTATTGGAACTTACATATGGCGGCTTTCGCGAAAATCCGAAATTCGTGGCTATCTGGTTGCGTCACTGGCTTTACTTCTTGACATTCGCGTGGCGCTAATCGCCCCGGGCGGTGCCGGTCAGCGCGGTGTGGTGGAGGTCCCCCTCCCCCTCCCAACCCTCTCCACCACCACCAGGAGGGATCATAGACATAGTCCACTGCCGAAAAGGGGTGCTGCGGAGTGTCGTGCGAAATGAGAGACGCCGGAACCTCACCGGGGATGTAGTTATCGATAGTATGAGGTGGTGGGAACGACCGAGCTGTGGTTGCGTAAATACGGAAAAACAATTCTTTGTGTGTTCGACTGGAAATTTGAATACACTAAAGTGTTAAACAGTAAATTTAATCAGTTCGAAGTGTGTTGCATCCATTGGCGTGTTACTCGACTGTGACGCTACGCACATGTGACATGGCCGTCACACTCTTTGTGTGATGTGACCGTCCCACTGTGTGACGTGGCCGTCACACTCTTTGTGCGTGTTTGTGTGTGTGTGACGTGGTTGTCACGCTCTGCCATCCGTCTGTCACCGCCGGCGGGCACGCGGGATCGAACACTGGAGTGCTGCGGGGCGATTGCCCGCGATGGCACCCCTCGATAGTGCGCTCACGCGTCACACGTCCGCGGGCATGTCGTGTTTGTTGTGGGTTTTTTTCCGGGAGAAATGTCATTTTCGCTAATCTTGTACGCACATCAGCGGTCTTGCGCAGCCAGCCCTTGAGCACCCCCCCCCCCCCCCCCAAAAAAAAGAAAAATAACAACGAGCGCATGTATGTGTTTTTCTACTTCTTATTCCATGCACTTCCAATGATAAAGACTGTTAAGCAATAATTCTTGGATGTAAATATATTTTTGGAGTGTGAGCGGCAGTAGTTTTATAAATTTATAAATCCACATTTTCTAACATTTTTTATTTGCTGCCGAATGGTATGTCAGCGTGTGGCGCAGAGTGCCGGGCGGTCGAGCCTCGTCTGTTGGCCGTGAAAACGTCATGATTTGACTTTGAACGCACAGCAGCCACAGGGTTTTCGTGACGTTTTTATACTATTAATTTTTTCCCCCGCCGCACTCTACTCGCGCCTGTCGGAAAGAGGGGCTTCCGCCATGGTCATAACGCGGTGACTTTCCGACGACTTTAGCTCTTGCATTTCTGTGGTCGGCGCGTGGATTAGTTTTGCGTTGCAAACGATATAAACTGGTTTATTTTTTATTATTGTATTTTTTTGTAATTTCACTATTTTTGTTCCTTTTTTTTTTTTTTGCCTTGATGGATGAATGTTAAAAGGATGTTTTGTTTGACAGTTTTTTGGTCTCGTTTGGCTTGCTTTTCAAAACACAAATAAAGTAACGGGTCCAGAATGTATCTATTTCTTTGTCCGGCGTGAGTCGCCTGGCAGCTGACTGACTGTCAGTTGGATTTGTACCGCATTTCGTGCGGCGGTTTCACCCGCGACTACCTTGAACCCTCCACTTGCTGACCCTTAATTCAACCTGCCACATGCCTTATATATCCATCTATCCGTGTCACCTGAAAATGTGTACTCTGAAACTTTGTGTTTTTACTGCATTTGTGTTTCAATTCGTTTTTTCTATCCTCTTCCAGGGTTCGTCGTAGTCGTATCACTCGCCCTCATCGTGTTCGGCGCCATCGTCGCAGCGTTCTTTACATCATGGGTCGACCTATACATCGAAGGGGTGAGTCCTCCGCCACTTTCTTGTCTCCTGCTGTCTTTATTGTGATACTTTTCACTTCAACTTACACTTCACTTCGCAATAACACTACCAGAAAAAAAAAATGATCCCCGGATGAAATCAATAATTTTTTGTCCTGCAAGAAATTGCATGTAGTTAAAGCCGGATGGCATATGGCATTTAAACACTTTCTTAAAAAGTTGATAAATCTTTTTTGATGTGCATTCGGTGGCCTCCTCACCGTGTTAGGCCCCCCTCTGCAACGAGCGGCAGACTTTGGGTAGACAAGGCCGCGACCCCACTGTGATGAGAACGCATCACATAATTGGCTGGCTGGGGCTGGGCGCGGGAGTGTGTGTGCGTGTGTGTGTGTGTGTGTGTGCGTACACGTGTGTGCACTGCACTCGCACAAGCACGTGTTCACGTATGCGTTACGTCAGGTCAGGACCGCGCTTCGTACTCACACATCTCTCGCATCCCATGAACACTGCTGCTGAGAGTTGGTTGCTCCTGTAAAAGAAAATGGTCAGCAAAGTAGACTGAGAAAATTTTAACGGCCTTGTCGAGTAGAAAACTCAAATTGTAATAGATTATTGTGAGACTTGTTATTGGGCACTAGTACTAGTTGTCGACTTTTTTCGGCAAGCACAAATGGGCTGTCTAAAAAATTTGCCAACATGTTCACAAACTCACAACGTCATTTTTGTAAATCCTAAAAACGTCGAAAATTTGCTCAGTCATTCCCTCGTACTACACATTTTCTACCACCCTCTGTTCAATTCTTGAGTCACGTCGAATGAAAAACGCTGGCCCAACTGGCCGAGCACCTGTAGGAAAAGTAGGCCTTCTTGATACTTTTCGAGCGGCGCGTGCGTGCGAGTCGCTGCTGCTTTGGCACCGGGGCTCCTCCGCGCCCCGCCGCCGCCAATGCCGACCAGGCGATACTACTTGCAGTGTGAAATTGGTCCCAATTTCGCGTACGAGGGGCGGTGCATCTATATTCATGACGTTCTTGTATGATGTCGGTCGGATGGGGGAGTTGGGG